TCATACGCCTCCAATAATGCGGTTCATGCTCGAAGAATTGAGTGGCCGCATTCAACAAACCACTTTATTCCGGACTCGTCACTATGGGTGAATGTGGTGGTTGGTCAGTTTTGAGCAAACTGTTCAGATGAACCGCGCTCGAGTTGGAATTCGAGACTCCAGCTCGGCTTACCGATAGTGACGAGCACACATAATGTTTTTATGGAGGGGAAACGTTTTGAATGCAGAATCGAAGGTGGCTCAATCGCTACTGATCGCAACGAGTTTGCATGAAAAGTTTGAAGGTTATGGTTACGGTCCCAATAGAGCAGACTCTCTCAATCGGGTTGCGTGCGAGATAAGGCTTTATTTTTCACGCATCAAAATGGGCCAGGACATATTTCAACGCATGCATATGTGCATAAAGTAATCGAGGATAGACTTTAACGTATAAATATTTCGAAACGAACGCTACACACCCTTATCTACACTAAACACTCATTGCAATGGATCTGAGATATTCACCAGTGCATTGTGAGGGGTAATGCGGGGACATTGTAACTGCTGTTGGAGGGATGCGAGGACATCTTAAACTTTCTTAAGGGTGCGACGGAGGGCAAAGTTGAGAAGAAGCACCNCACTTTGCATAGCGACTGTTCCAATTCCAGAAACCGAGAAAAAATTCATCGCATTTTTCCAACGGAATGTCATTAGAATGCCGTCACCACTATATGCCAAGCGTTAACTCAAGTGATTATCGTTATTATAAACAAATATCAGCAGAAGTTACAAAGTGAGTGCAGTTTGAACCTTTCAGAGTGCAGTTTCAAGCGTTTTTCGCATTATCAATAGAGCAGCAGTAAGGAGTGAGTTTGTGGATATCAATCAAAGGGGATCGACTCGAGTGAGTGTAACGAAAATCGAAGATGTTCGTGTCTCGATCTGCATATTTGACTGCAGCAGTTCGTGGGGGTGGGGCTGGTGGTCTTAGAGCGATGTTAACGAGGAGGAGATTGTGCACGACATCGATGAGGTGTTCCGTGGCATCGGTCAAGATGTGGCTCGATGGAAAGGAGGTGCAGTCGAATACTTCCGAGTGGATTGATTTGACGAATCCGGTGGGTTGTTCAGTTCGTTTGCTTGT